TCCAGCTGTGTGTCTCTCCTGTCTGTTCGAGTCTAAGCCCCTCAGAACAGCAAGTGTCATAGCCAGTGATGCTATGTGACTTCCAAATTTTTACAGACCTCCTGAGTTTACATGACTGTTATATCTAAAAGTGATAATAAAACGTATTATATCTTAAGGAAATACTGAGTTACTGCAGAAATATTTTATCCTACGTTCACAAAAATATAAAAAACCACTTGGTGCATTTTAGGCTAACCCTCTTTTTGTAATGTACATGTTAAAAGGCTTCTGTGTTATTATTCTGAATTATTCTGAAAATACTCGCCTTGATTATGCAGCAGTAGGCATGTGCAGTTGATTTGAGGGAGCTATGCTTTGCATCAAATTTCCCCTGGGTACTGTGTGAAACTGCACAATAAATGAGTGTTGCTGTAACTTAAACAGATACCGACTCTTCCGAGGCATGAAAATAAAAATGTTGTGGTGTTAAAATGTAGCACTGGCAGGTCTATTACGCTTTTCACAAAGTCTAATAGTTTTCTTCTAACAGTAGCTGTCTTAAAAATTAATGATGCATACTTTCAGTGTTACCTCATTACTGATGCACAACTCAGTAGGTTCAGATGAGATTCCAGCTGGATGGGTATGCCCTCGGTGTATAGGGGGGTGGGCACCATTCACCAAAACTCTTTCCTTCTGTGTATCTTTATTTTTCTACTTAATCTACAGACGCTTTCTAAGGAACTTCTACTCTGTGTTCTCCTTTCCAATTACCAATAAGACTGATTTAGCTCTCTATTTTGGGTTACAAATTCCATACAATAGCATAAAAATAGGGGTTTTTTACTGAAGTTTGGAAAAAAACCCAAATATTTTAAGTTGCAAAGCAGGAAAAAAACTTCTTCTACAGCACATTTTAATCTTTCCAGTAATATCTGAAAAGATCCAAGTAGATGAGGATTTTCCTCCATAAAGATGTACACAGCATTCAGAGTATTGAAACTCCCAGTACAGTTATGATAAATTCCCACTGGCTTATTATCACTGAATAACAATGCAGAAAGTAAGTACCTTTTAGACTTTTAATTTGGACTTATTTAAAATTAATTAATCTCTGTAGTCATATGTCAAACAAGCAAACCAGTTTTCTAAAGGAGTGTCTCTGTGATTTAACTCAACTTCTTGCCCACTCCCACCCTGTCAATCCCCTCCAGCCCATAAAACGCCCGGGGAAGTAGGTAAAATCGGCATTCTGACCCAAAGGCAGCAGCCTTGGCTCTGCCAGGGGAGTGCAGGACGTGAGGGAGCACAGGTCAGCATCCCTCACCCAGCCGGGGCCCCAGATCTAGGTCGATGCATGCATGCCAATAGCCAATGGATGTACACACATCCAGAATTCGCAGCAGGGGGAAATCCTGAAACTGATGTTTTTTCCTTTATATCTGAATGGTGGTTCACACTACTTGAGCTTATGCTGCTAACATCGATCAATTCATCTCTAAATGAGAATTAATGAAGATGTATGCTTAATACCAAGCTGGGCTGGCCAGGTGCCCAGGTATTGGGAACTGTGTGTTCACTGGAATGCATTTACTCTCACCGATGTGCAGAATTCGGATTTTAACGTTACTGTTTTTAAATTAAAAAAAAAAAAAAAAAAAACAAAACAGAAACAAAAAAACCCCACAGAGCAGAATATCCAATTAGTACTGTAAGACTGAAAAATAATAATCTGAGTTTGGACAATAGGACAAAGTGCTCACTTTGTCTGGGTGGCATTTTAGTGAAAGCATTCCTAAAGAAGCTGTGGGATCTGATATAAAATGAAATGCTTTCATCAGCCTTCAAAGCATCTGAATTCCCAGAAAATAAAACCTTATGGAACTGAGTGTTACTTAAGTCTCTCTTTCAATAGAAAGAGCACTACAGAAATTTCCTGGCTAACAAATATTTGAATTTATGCAAATTTCAGTTCTTTACAATGCTGGTCACATATGTTAAAAGATGCACAGTAAGCTGCAGAATGCTATCTGCTCTACAGAGGGTCTGTTTTAATTCTTTCCATATTATTTTCCATTATATGAATGGTGGAAAAAGAAATTAAGTTAATTTTCTGATAAATATTTCATCTGAATACTGAAAACTACATGTTATCATTTTGAATTATAATTTACCATCGTTTTTTCCATCTTCAGCAGAGGTTTAATTTTGCTTCATTTACCTCATCTGCTTTGAAATATCTCAGAGCCACGCAGCTCCAGTTGCAGTAAAAATATTTCTACTGCATAATATAATAAAAAAGGTAACATAAAAAGTTAAATAGTTCTCTGCATCTATTTTGGATGGGTAGGCATAGGTACCTTTTGCTAGCACCTCTCAGTGGAATGACCCTTCTTATTTTTATTCTGGAAAGCACTTTGGCACTGAGCAGCCTGAGCTGGTTTCCCTGGTACTATTCACTGGCTGAGCCGAGACAGGTGGCCAGCCGCTGTGTAAGACGAATGTTTACTCTTGCTAAAATCTGTGCTGCAGTATCATGCATAATTAAGGGGAATGCATTTCACTGGACTGGGGAAGTTGAAAAGCACACAACCACATGCTATACATTTATTTATGTTAAGATTCAACTGCAGATCATCTGCCCAGGTGACCACTTCAAATCCCAGGCACGCCGGCAGACCGGTGCGTCGGAACAGGGAGGTCCTGGCACGTAGAAAAGAGTGAAAGTTTTACCTTCACTACTAAGTTGGCATCACCCAAGATTTCATACCATAGCCATGCTGCAAGCTGCAACTATCAGCACACTTAGCTAACTGTTGATTTATTTAAATAGTAGTTGATGGTTTAATGGTATTTAGTTAAGCCCATGCCGATAGAGACAGCACAGGAAAAACCAGGTAAGCTTTGGCAGCCTGTGCCCGCTGATGTACATGGAGTTTTGTGTCGTGACAAGGGGATCAGGGTGACGAAGTGAAAATGTTCCCTTGCACATCACCCCCTGGTACCTGGCAACAGGGAATGACCAAATGCTGCTGCCCAATCTGAACTGTCTGCACTAGAACAACGTTTTTCACATGACAGATACTTTGCATATTTTTGAAACATCTGTAATGAAGCAGCTACCTGTATGAATATGTGTATACACGCATACATGCTTTAACACATACACATATGTGTATATGTGTATATATTTACGCACATATTGGACAGCTCTTGCACTGAAACAAAACTGTGCCTCTTCCCAAAAGTGGTTATTTGATCCCAGACAAGGAGCTTCATCCTGCGAGAAGATCAGATATATTAGTTTCCACTACTTTTGAACTTGCTGGAGCAAGCTTAAATCCCTTTTACAAATTGGGTTTAATAAGAAAGTTGTTGTCACTGTTTTGAACAATAAAACAATCATTGCAAGAAGCTATGTGCATTCCTGGTGGAATTGCAAACTCTTTGGGAACAATTTTCACATATTTTCCAGCAAAGTTAGACTGCTTTGTCCCAGATTCTAATGCTACCCTGGGGGGATTAAGCTGTTCAGAGGTTGCATCAAGTCCTGCACGGATCCCAGGGAAAACATACTTGCTCATCCTGGCTGCAAATTTTTAGGTGAGAGGTTGAGCCGCTGTTCTGTGCTGTCCATGGGCCAGCAGAACTACACAGTTCTGTGAAGAGACAGGACACTATCGTTTTCAGGGCTGGGATGAATGGTTTTCCTGATCTAGTACAAGAGATGACACAGAATTCTTCAATTCATGGTTCTCCATGAAACTAGGATGAGCATGTGGATGCCAATCAGCATGCAGCCCAAAGTCCTTAAATTGCTGTAGTTACTAAATCACTTGGTGATATAGTGACATAATCCTTTAAGAAGTCTTAATCTGATTGGTTTTAAAGCAACTATTAACCACAACCCAGTATGAAATTGGCACCAAAAGAACTAAATAGTAAGCTTCCTTGATGTTATAAGCACCTATAAAATAATTTTTAGACTTCTAAGTTCAGATTTGACAGAGCGCTTGAGCATATGCCAATTTAAAGCATGTAAGAAATCCCTGTGGCTTACATCTGTGAAGAGTAGGGAGGGAAAGAACACTGTCGACTTATGAAAATATGTGAGAAAAGATCACTCTCTGGAAATGCATATTTACTAAATAATATGAACTCATCATGAATACTCCAGCTGAAGCTTTCTGAATGCTCTAATATGGTGGCCAGAGAGAGCTTTTGCAAATGTAAATCTGAATCAATTTAGACATACAATCGGATAATTTGAAAACTGATGAAAAAGCAATAAAACACCATAAAACCCAGAAGGAGTCAAAGGGCAGGTGATATCTTCTGCCAGTTGACCTCTTACCAGCTTCTCACACCAGGGGATTGTTTCAACCTGTTAAATTTCCACTTGTTCCTGATGTACATTTGTGTATTTGGGGGCAAGTGGAGGGGTCTGTTCCTTTAATCTTGAGAAATCAAGCCTGCAGGCGTCACACATGGAGGCTCCAGGTGATCCTAGACGTGGAGGGCTCATGTGCTTTGACGTACCTGCTTTGTGTACCTGCCAGAAGCGGGGGTATTCTGCCCAGATAGTAAGAACTGATTAAAAGTTGAAACTGAGATGGGCTCTTACAGCCCCTCCATATAAACAACGAAGGGTAAGGCAGCAGCAGAGTTCTCTTCAGCATCGCCAAATCCTCCAAAGGCAGCCACAGTGCTAACCCTTCCCCCCCACTAGTGGCATTTCCACCACCACTCCTGCACCCAGCAAGTTTCCACTCACCGTCAACACCTTACTATACATTTACAAGGAGTGGGTGGGTGGGGTACAATAACAGGGTCCTCCCCTACAGCATAGACTAGGAAGTATTCCATAATTTAGCATGAATGAATAATTCAGTGGTTTATTTTAAATGGAAAAAATTTGATCTGCAATAATTTAATTTTCTGTATTTTAAGCATTATAATAGATAACACAAAATGATGTAAACATTTGAAAATGAAAGAATAATGCAAAATGACTTCTGTTATAATACAAGGAAAAAGTTGGCAACCGGCAACATTTAAAAAGCAACAATAGGAAATAGATCAGACGAAGCACTAATTTATATAGCACAGTAGAAATGCAACTGCTCCACAGGCTTTTTCACATTGTAAGACAAGAAAAAGATCAATTACATATAGTCAAACCTATGAAAGAATAACTAATCCACAGCATTTGAAAAGCAGCTTTGTATACCAATTTCTAGACAAAATGTAAATATAATTTGATCTCTTTCTGATTATACTGCTCTGATTTTTGTAATTTGTGTTTTGTACTTTGTGTATTACGTATGAGAAAATTACATGTTGTTGAAGTGCCACTTCCTTTTAAGCACTGGCACCATTAAATTAGAGCTATGTTAACAGTCACCATTTGAGAAGAAAACAGAACAAAAGATATCATTGTAGTAGGGCAAAATCCTCCTTTGAAAAATGAGGTAAATAAAAATACAGATATAGCAATATAAACCTGAAAAGGTTTTCACAAAGCATGTAAAGTTCCATTGTACCAATTCCTTTAGGAAAAAAAGTATTAACATTATAAACAGCAATTATGGGGCAACAATCATGTATGCATATATATTTGCAACTATACCTTCAGGCAGGTCATTGAAGATATATTTATGCTGATAAAGTTACTCAAAGGGAAACTACACACATTCTGCATGAACTGCTGAAGAATGGCATTATCAATTAGACTTTAAAAAAAAAATCTTTTACAGAGCAGTTTAATTTCTGAAAATGGCAATTCATTAAAAATTCTAACAAGAATTAAAGAAGCTTGAATCAAATCCAGCCTTCATATTATTCCTCTAGGAAAAAATGTACCTTTTATTTTCTAACCATTTGACTTGACAAGGAAAAGTTATTTAGGAATGTTTTACTGATGAAACAAAGAGGCCCACACATTGTAGCAAAGAATGAAATATATCATAAAAAGACAGACTTGAAACTTCAAAATAACTTGGAAAAATGATTAAGTGTGTAAGCAAGTACTAGGACAGACAGAGTGTGATTCAAACACTAAGAAAGTAGCTAAATTTTCAAATTAATTAGAGGTTTATTAACCTGAACTGTCTGGAGAAGTTCTTGATACATGGATTCCCTTGACTGTATGTAACCCTCAGTTTTTCACCCAGGAACAGGTACCAATGATGTGAAATAAACAAAGTAAAATTCACAAAGCTCAGAGGTCCTCAAGTAAGTTAACGCCCTCTTGGGAACCTGCATGGAAGAAAACATAGAAAAAGTTTAGATTGCAAAAGAAACCAAAAGAACTGTAAGGATAATAAAAAAAAAAAAAAAAAAGTTGCTGTATTTCCACATTTGTATTTGCATTCTGTTTACAGTGTTTGGATTTAGGGCATTCAAGTTAAACATTCGCATTTTTATATCGAACAAGAAAGAATTCTCTTCTTGATAAATCTATGTTACTATGCACAGCTTTATGCTTCCTTTTAGGTCTGGTGTTTTAAATTTAAAGCCCTCAAAATATTGCAGTCAGTTGCAGTGCTATTTATTCGCTATTTGGTGTTATTTAAACTGAATAACTATTCAAGTCTGACTCGTGGGATGGTTTTGAGGTCCAGATTTAGATCACCTACATTTAACCGTCTACATAAGTATTAGATATCAAAACTCATATTAAGTTCAATGGAAATCCAGTAGATATATGCAACAGACTCTACAGAGATCACTCAGCAGCAGATACCCTGCCTCACCCCATGGGCTGCGTACCTCAGCAGCCTTGGAAGTTCCACTGGCCCAATCGGCACAGCCTTGAAAAAGAACAATGTATGCAGCATAGTCCAGACCCCTAAATATGGGGGCAGGAGGTGGGTATCTCAAACTCATGGTTAATATATAGCTCCTCTTTTTATGTCAAAGAAAAGCCTGAGTCCTTCCCCAAAGAATGGGGATTGTCTACATATGGGCAAAACCAAAATGAATGAGAATGATTTAATATTAGAGTCAAATGTTCAGCTTCTTAAAATGTTAAATACTTCTGTCATGCTGCTTTATTAACATACCCACTATTTTCACCAGTAAAACAAAGAAAATTAGGATTATGCTCTGATTTCCTGAACAAGTTGAGTCTGTGCAACTTGGCACATTAGTCATTAAAAACTGACCCTTTTTGCAAGAAAATTGTAAAAAAATGTTTTTATTGTCATGAATTATAGATCCAAGTCCTTCCTGTTGACTACATCACTGAATTCCATTATAAGACCTTCTCACCCATAAATCTTGCTACACAGCGAATTTGAAAACTTACAAGTTAATTCTCAAGTGTTCAAATGAAAACATGCACTCTGAATGCACGTGTAGTAATACATAATGAAATTCAGAGCAAAGCTTTTCAGAATCAAAATTATAGGCACCGGTCCAATAGCGTAAGTTATTTTAGCTCCAGTTTTCTTTTTAAATCAACACCAGTGAAGAACCCATACCAACGGGATTCTTAGAAATCATAGCTTAAACACTTTATGGAAGACACTGTTTCCTCTCCAGGGTTTAAGCATTGCCTACCATGATCAATTTGATCTTGTGGCATTTAACTCATAAATAAGAAAAAAAAAATAAAGTAAATTATTAAAAATAAATACAGTAAAAGAGTAAAGTTCTGACCATGCTCAGAGACACCATTTCTGTTCATCAGTCCTCCATGAAAGTCACAGACTTTGGACCTACAGATATTTATGCTCAGTCGCTAAAACAGTTCACCCCTGAAGAAGGACCATGCCTGAACTTCCTGGCTCGAAGCAGGAGAGATGAACTGCTACAGCCAGGAACAGGATATGCTGAATACTGAAGTATGAAGGCCCTATAGGGAAAGCCTCCATCCATACAGTGGACCTTCTTTAGGGAAAGCAGACAACTGGTATATATGTTCACTGAAGGAAATTTATCCGTGCAATGAAAGGAAGGACATAAAGTGCATCTCTGAGACAAAATTCACATTTGGTAACCTGTTATCACTTACACGGAGGCCAAAAGTCAGGTTAAAAGATTCACAGTTTATATTTTGCTTCTTTATTACTATGTTTTTCTATTTGTTTGTATAATATACATTTTTGTGCTTCTGTGTCTGTGTGACCATCTTGCTTGCATCGATATTTTCTTTTGAAAAAAATATACTTGTATTTATCTCTGAAACAGTTAACCATATAGGCTACTCCTTCCTGCATGTTTTACTACTGATAACTTGTGATAGACATCAGGTGAATAAAACTGATGGGTTTCATATGCTATAGATATCCTTAATATTCAAAGGAATATTCAAAGGAAAAGCTTGCTCTATCCTGCAAAACTATTATCAACAACCATCCATGATGTGGGCTGAAATATCTGGCCACAAAACTAAATTTATACATTTTGCATGACAGACCATTTTGTCCTCAGATTAGATTTTAGCACCACAAAAGCATTTAGCCACCCTATTTCATGTAACGATATTAAACAATATATATAGCTTCACTTTAATGGTTTATGGTTTTAACTTCAGCTCAGATTCAAATGAAACTCAGCAGCACAAAAACCAGGTTTATTTTATTCTGAAAGAAAATCAGCCAATCAAAATACAAATTTAAGCCAAATTCTAAGTTCTACTAAGTACAACGTGCCTTTGTATTTAATGTTGCTTGTTTCACCAAAAAACCACAAAGCTTTATTTGCTAGTGTCCAATAAACCCAAGAATTTTAGCTTCTGTTACCTCATTATTTTGCTTTAGAAGCTGTTTGTTGAGTAAAGTGATTCCTTTGGAGATAGATGATATCATTATCATGATTCAAAAGGGCGGGAACTATTATAGACATGTGATATTACTTTAATAAAGAAAAGTATTTAAAATTTGTAATGAGCATACCCAGAGCTTTCAGTACTCCAGAACATCCTAAACAGAAGGCTTACTTCTTTTGGCTTTCTTTAACTTTAAGTAACCTTCTTCTTTCTGTTAACAAAAAAATAAACAAACAAAAAAGGCAAAAAACAGTGAAGCAAAGAAAGCAATAATACTAGGCTAACAGCTCAAGAGAAAAGTTGTTTCTGAGTGAAATGTTTAGTTGAATGATACAAGAATTAATAAAGTTTCTATTTTTCAATGTAAATGCAATTTAAAATATTTTTACATGTACGGTGGGTAAATAATTAAAACCAGAGCCATTTTGAAAATACCATTTACATGCTGGTAGCCAAGACTTTTTAAGCCAATTGATCTTTTCTAGTGTCCAAACTTGAGATAATGGCAAAGGTTTACTCTTCAGAGAAGTGTTTAGCAGCGTCCCCAGTCAGCACTACCATATTTTAATCTGGAGAGAGGAGGAATCACACTAATGAGCATTAGAGAGGCCACCCCTATGCCAGTCAATAGGTAAATCCCTCTCCTGTTCCTGAGACTCCAGCTGAAGCTTCCCTAGAGCTGTGCATCCACCTCACTTGGCTCCAGCAGTGGCAATGCTGCACTGGCAGTGTCTCAGGCAAAGAGAGAGAACTTGCTGGCTCCTGATGCTTCCCAAAAGTAGCTTGCAGGGCTCAGCCTGGTACCTGTGCTACTCACAGCCTGCCTGGGGAAGGAGGGATGGTATGGGGCACTTGTGACTCATGACTAGGACAGGACAGTGCCCCTTCCCCATCCCAGCAGTGCTGCAGACCAACTACAAGCTCTGCTTGTCCAGTTTGCCCAAGCCGTAGAGACAGCTCTGTGCTCACAAGCCCCAGTGTGGCTGGGCCATTCCCAGCAGCAGGCAAAGGACTTCAGTGCCCATTATGTATTATGGTGGAAGTCTCCCTTCAGTACTTGGACCCCTGGGGTTGTTATTCTTATAACCACAGTTATTTTTAGTTGCAGTTCTTCTTTCCTTCTTTGTGAGACTGACTCCTGACCCTACTGCTGTAGCATTGCAGTGCTGGGCCTGTAGCTAGAGACTCGGTCGTGGCCCCGTGGAAGGGCCTTTCCCAGCTGCAGTTGGATGGGGCCAGCTCAGAGCAGCTGGGCTGGCGGTTCCCACACCAACTCCCCTCTTCCCTGCTGCAGGCTGAGCTCTAGGGCATGAGCGTGTTCCTGCAGCAGCCCCCAGGCTGCTCTACTGGCTCTTTTTGAACTGTACAGACAGCACAGACTCTTCTAATTACCATTAAAAGTTACAGAATTATCTTGTATTTGGCTTCAAAAGCTTAACAAAACAAAAAGATGACAGATAAAATGTACTGTTAACAAATGCAAATTAAGTGGAAGAATCTGAATTACAGATGCATACTCTTAAGTTCTTAATCAACAGTTAATAAGTACGCTGACAAGGTAAATTTATGTGTTGCAATATGTGACTAGGCAAAGGCACTTGAGATCAACCATGGGTAATGAGACCTCAGATAGTCATGTGTGAAATGAAATATAAAAGGCAAGGGAACCTGGGTGAAAAGGGTGTTAAGTGTTGTGTTACATGCATGCAACTTTCCCTCCTGGCTTATTCTGTAGAGTTATGGTACAGTATTTTCAGCTCGCTATTAGATGAAATAATATAGATATATCTATGTAATCTATGTATCTATGCATACAATTGTACTAAGCATTGGAGAGTTGGGACTCACTACTTCTAATGGGTCTAATTTCTGGGTAGTAAAAACATAGAAAGAGTGGTTGGAAGGAGAAGGAGATGGAAGATACAACTGAGTTTTAAATAACTGATATTTAAAAAGAGAAGTGTAGCCCAGTGGTAGGTAAAAGCAACATTTAAGAATCATGAAAGAATATTTTGAAGAAGAATTTAAAAGTACACACTACTATCATTAGAGAAGCACCCAGAGGAAAAAGTATTAAAAAAAAATCATATTAGGAACTTATCAAAATGCTGCTGCTGACCCCATCTAGGAATATAACAACTTAAATATATTAAATAATTATGAGAATATAACTTTTAAATACTCAGAATGAATTACAAATAGCCTTTTGGAACTCATTTCTACAGAATGTTGCTGAATTCAAGCACTTGCAATGAGACACTTACAGAGCCATTGAGAATGCCCATAGTTATACTGGGCAGCATAAAACTGTTTTCTGTAGAATCAGAAAATCTGCCTCAGAAACATATTTACATTAAGTAACACCATTAAACTTTTTAATTTCAATAGTATCTTTTGCAGTAGACAAACATTTTAAATGCGTGTTTGAAGTAACCAATGGTTAAGGTTAATCTGATCCAGAGCGGGCTCAACAGGATTTCTTGGTTTCCCTGTTTTAACTGGAACATGCTAACATGAAAAAATGTAAAAATTGCTTTTTATTTCCTAATTCATGTCTTTTTTGACAGGATTAAGGGGGTGTATGTGTGTGGTTTTTTTACCTGTCTTCTTCTGGCACAGCCTATCTTTACAGATGCTTCCATGTTGCTCTCCTTGCTTGAGAAAGCTGGTTTTGAGGTCAGTGTTTCACATGTCAGATATTCGTTCCCTGTAATCATCTTAAAGCAAAGAAGTTTATACCTTCATTAGCAAAAAAGACGCAGCATTTTTCTACTTGTTAAAATGACCTACTTTTTCAAAAGGTGCCCTCATAACACAAAATTGAACTAACCTACCAGATTACATTTTATAGGTGAAAAAAGTGATAAGCACAACACATTTCATCTATGACCCCAATCTGTGGGACATCATCCTCATAAAAATTGTACTGAAATCAGCTCAGCTGTTTATTTTATTGAAATATAGACAGAATCATAGAAAATTTAGGCCGTAAAGTACCTCTAGAGATCATCTAATCATAACTTTTACTCAAAACAGAGCTAACTTCATAGTTAGATCACATTGCTTTGGGGCCCGTCGAGTCAAGTTTTGGGAATCTGAAAGGATAACAACTCTACAACCTCCCTGTGCAACTTGTTCCAGTACTTAACCACTCTCACTCTGAAGATTTTTTCCCCTTATGCCCAGTAAGAATTTTTCCTGTTGCAACCTGTGCTTTTAGTGAAATTGTAATTAAACTTGTATTGCAAAACTTGCATGTTTGTCTAACAGTGCAGTGCCTTACACACACTGCAGTCAGCACTACACAACTGAGGAAGTTCGGGATTTGGGATTCCTTCCAGGAGCTGTTCATTAATGTGGTTTCATATGAAGACAGGCAGAACACTGAAAACTTCACCATGTTAACCTCACACAAATCTTGACAAACTGGCAAACTGTCTTAAAGAAGGTAAAGCTAATTATCCCATCTTAAAAGTCCCAAATTAAAAAAAGTGTGTATCTGAGACATCACAGTAGATCATCTTCCCTTTCATGAAAAAAGCAGCAGTGGCTGACAACATAAACTTATGTGATAGAAATTTTAGAAAACTATATTGAGGATGATGGTAGAACATGATGAAAGTCATGCTCTTTATTGCTTAGCGCTGTTTAGAATATAGTGAATTTGTGAGAACCAGTGAAAATGAGCCCTGTTATCTACTGTACCTGTTCAAAGTTAGATTTGGAACGACAACTGGCTGTCTTAGCAATAGAGTCCTTAGAATGGCATGCTGCTTTGTTTTCTTCATTTTTGGTGATGCATATTGTATCACTTAAGACAGATTCATGAATATTTAACCCTGTTCCTTCATTTGATCTCTTTGTTTGTTGCTGTGATAAACCGAAATTTGTCATTTCATTGTCTAATTTACAAATCTGCAAAGGTACTTTTTTTGACTGGTGTTGTTTCTCAAGCATTTGCTTGGGATTTTGACTTGCAAACTTTTTTCCTCTTCTTGCACTGAAAGTAGGAGATGGACATGTATTCAGACTCAGATCAATGCTTGATTTCTGAAGCACTGATCCAACACTCTTAAAGGAAGGAGAATTTGCCTTTCTGTGATTGACTTCACTTGAATTCCCACCTGAAGCTGAGTTATCAGAAAAATCAGAAGGAGCCATTTGTCCACCAGACTCTCTTTTCCATCGAAATACTGGTACACCATGTTCTGTGTATGTTTTCACATTCATTACCTGAAGTACACTGCTATGAGGAGAATTTTCGACTGACGTATTTTGAACAGGTTTGTAAACCTGACTTATGCTGGCCTTGCACACAGTCAGCATAGAAGATGAAACACCCATAATTTTTCTCGGTGAATGTCTTCCAGCATGTTCTCTTTTCTTCCCATCCATTTGATTTGTGATCTTTCCATTCATTTGCATCAACTTTCCTTTGAAAATTGGTATAATTTTGCTGACTTTTGCAGGGGGGAGCTCAAAGGCTGAACTTACAGGCATTCCTAAAGAAGTCATAACTGGTAACGCTGGTAGTCCTGGTATTTGCCTATTATTCATCGATTTTTCCGTTGCTTGAATGCTAGCCTTTTCTGTATCCTTACAGCTACTCGAAAAAGTGCGTGCTTCTGGCTCTTTGACCAAATGCTCCATCCAGTGGCCGTTTTTCATACTGCATGGTGAAGAAATTCTAGGCAAGGTCTGTTTCCTTGGGGGAGCCTGCGTTAGAGATACTACACAAACCATCTCACCAGCTAGTTTCATATGCTTGGATTTTATTTCCTGCAATACAAGAAGAGTTGCTAAATTGAATGAAATGGATTTAAAAATCTGATAGTGCCACCTAATGCATCACTATAGGGTATCAACCTAATATACATCACAATATATAACCATTCGTTTCCCTGTTTTGAATTAGAATGAATTATACTTTAAAACAATATTTTGTTGTCACTATAAATGAAGACTTGTTTTCTCCTCCCCTCAATTCTTTGTTTATAAACTATGCTGGACTATCGTGTTTCTCAAATTACAGTAATTATCTTGGTTTAATGCTTTCCAGCTGGGTAATGCCTACCCCTTCTGAGGGGGTCTGCAGAGACTTTGACTAACAGGGCTCATCATCTCTTAAGACTTCTAAGGGCATCTGTATTCTGAACAGAAAACAGTTTGGATGTCTGTAAAAACTGCAGATGACAAAGAGAATCCATTCTAGCTTTGATCACTGAAGAGACATAAACAGGAACTACTTTCTGAAAGAGGATTATAGTATTTTAGAACTTCTGCAATTCCTGTCACTATTCTTTGTTCAGAATTACTTAATTTCTTCTTTCACACACTACTACCAAAGAAACTGGAGTCTCAGCCCTTGTCACAACCCCAAATATAAGGAGTTTTGATTGCTTGACTCCTTTCCATCACCAGCCATGGAGTAAATCTTACAGCTTGAGCGTTTTTAAATGTGCAAGTCCACAGAAGTTTATATTTTTCTTGTGTTTTTTTTTTTTTTTTTAAAAAAAACAAATAGTAGTAGTAGTAATAATAATAATAACAAAAACAATAATAATAATAATAACTGTTCTTATTGTTACTATTATTATGGAAGAGGTGTGAGAAAGTTCTGGATATCCAACTGTAAAACAAGGCCTATAGAATTGCAAATATTGATATCAACTAATTAAGACTAAGTTCAATTTTTAAATGTATTTGTGATGTGAACAACAACATAACAATGGCAAATAGCAATATAATATTTAATTACACATTTAATTAGAAGTTACATCGTTGATAGTTGTTTTTTGTGAGAAGCACAGTTTTACACTCTTACTGTGTTATGAATATGATAAAAACCAGTTCATACCATGAACAAAGTACATGCCATTAATACATTTATAAAACAACCTTACACGTACCGGAGCCCTGGAGAGTTCCTGTGTAGCATAAAGAGCTTTACTTGTCATCTTCACTGGAAATCCACATAGATGTGAAAGATTATGCTTCATGTCAGAAAGAAAAGACTTCAACACACTTTCTGAATCTGTTCTAGGGAAATACTGCACTGGCTGACTTCGAATGCAGCTTAAAGGGTACCTGAATAAGTGTTCAGGGATACATAACAAGTTTCTTTACATTTCTATAATTATGAATCATCTTCCTTGAGAAGAAAGCATGAACATGTCTAAAGCTTTTTCCAAAAGGTGAACAAGCGCTTACTTTCTTAAGGATCTGCAGCTTACAAAGTTACAGGACTTCAACATGATTATACCATGCTGACCTACCATAGTAAAGATTACTCAAGATAAGTAATCCTTAGTCTAGACTTTCCTAGCACAAAAATTCTCTTTGTTGGTCATATTTTTACAGTAATTTAACTCCACCTTTTACATCACCATTTAGAGTGGCATTATCACGTTTATAGAAGCTGTGAAGCAAACTATTCTATTTGACTTACTGTTATTCAATACTAGGACAAAGAGACTTGACTAAGTATTTTGTTCCAATCTGTCTAGTGAAACAATTCTCCACTGACTTCTATGAAATTATGGAATGAGAAAATATTGCACATTCAAAGATGAAAATTTAGATCATTGCTACAAGTGCAGTAGAGGAAATGCAACAGAAATGTTCTGAAAGGATATGTAAAGAACCTCTCCCCTATTGGCTTGAAGTAAACACTGAAGTATATTTTTGTCTCTTCAAGATCCTCTGGAAGAATATATCCATACTTAAAAAAAAAAAACAAACCAACACAAAAATGTATTACAAATACAAACTCAATAGGTACAAAAAAGGGAGGGGAAAATGAAAGCATTGTATATTGTTTCTTACCAGATTCTTCCAGTGCAACTGAAATTCTTCATATGAACGGAAAGGAGATTCTGGAGGAATTATGTGGCTGATGTTTATGATCTGACCCATTTTCATGCTGTGCATAGGTAAAGAAAGGGTGCTTAGAAAGGGTGTCAGGAACCAGCTAAAAATATACTAGACTTTCGAGGGAAAAAAGTAAATCTTATTTTTGGCATTGAAAGTATTTATGGATTATTTTTATGTTTTGAGGGCTAATATCTCATAAGTTTATGACAGAAAAATAGCAGTATTTCCTGAAATATGGAAAAGAACTTGGCACCTACAAGTCTGGTTTCTCTTGTCTGTAATACTTACTACCAGTGAATGCAAAACAAAAGTAAATGTATCATTACTTCTCATATTTTTATAATATCATTACTTCTCATATTTTTATGATGAAAATCATAGGTGAAAATAGAAATAGTTTGTGGCAAATGTGGAAATACGATTTTTCTTTAAATTGGTACTTTATGCTATATTTGAGAAAAAATAATGCTCTTGCATATCACAGAAATAGCAGAGAGATTACTAATATTGAAGTAATATTTAAATGTGTAATTTATGATTTACTGATTAATTTTTCTCATTTTCCATACCACTGAAACCAAAAAGGTAAAAAAGAAATATGCCTGAATGTAAAACAGACTGTAAACAGAAATGTTCTTATCACTAGTACCAAATTCAAAATTCGTATGGCAAACATTCCAGGAAATACTTATTTCTGCTGAAATGTTAACAGACTCCTACCTTGGCAAAACATAGCACCAGTTACTTAATATGGAATGTTGGTGAATAACTGTATTTTCATTGCTGTCAAACAGCTTTAAGGTATTTGCTGAAATACCAAAATCTCCCATCTTAAAACAGAAAAAAAAAAAAAAGTTATTTGCAAATATTTCTACAGCAGTACAAAATTCAAATTTTCAAAAATAGTTGTGTATTACTATACACTGAAGTTTATACATTATTCTTCTTTTATCAGCTCTCACAGACTGATTATTTCAGATGTTCCCATTATCAAATCGTACACTGTCTTATGCTAGTGCCTACACTTCCAAAATTTATGCAAATATAAGGTTTAAAGTTAATTTAAATTGGTGAGATTTAAACTTTATTTGAAGTGTTTTAATAAGTAAGAGTACAGAAGGAATTTCTCAAACTAAGAATTGTCTCATTTCCATGCACATTTTTTAAAGTTTAAATCAGAAACCCATGCTTGACAGCCTAGTAACTGTGTACACCACCTTGCCTGATCAAGTGCAAATATCCAAGCAACAGAATTAATGGGACATATAGTTTCACCCTGTGAGAAGTCAAAAAACACCACACATTTTCACAATGTGAAAATATCTGACTGTAGGGATCAATCAAACACTGAGATCTGAGAAACATTTTCTCTCTCTGTGGTCTACCAGGGTTTGCATTTATTCACGGTAAGAAAATCTGGCTACTTCTGTTTTAGTAAAGTATTATGATTAAACTGATAATGAAGCCACATCATGATCACTTCTACCATTGCTTTGTGTCTTTTTGGAATTGGATTCCTATACATAGTTTTAATGTCTATGCTGTTGAACTAGGTCACAGAAGAAATCCTATTCTTCTATTCTTAGAAAGAAGAGTTTGGATCAGAAATACTTATTTTGGAAGAAACCAGCAAGCCTGGCAAATATGCCCCTGTATGTATGGACATGCTGAACAAAGGTGACGTGGTTGCAATTTTTCAACCTCAACCATGATTTCTTAAACAACTTATTAATGATGCTTACAAGCAGCATAGTCCAGGCTTCTCCCATATTTTGACTGCATAGAAAATTAAGCAGATTCCAGAATAGTTATATACAGGGACTTTAAACATAGTGCTGGCAACTTACCTGTAGCTTCACTTTTAAGATGTTACTCAAAACTGTCTATGAATTACAGTGAGACATGAGTGCCATCTAGAAAACACTGATAGTAGGAACTCTAGAATCATAAAGACACTTCACTACTATATTCTGTTAGCATTTTTTGAAAGGTCTCTTCACCAGTCTAGACCCTCAATTTTACAATGCTTGCTAGAATGCATCAATATAGTTATAATATGGATGCTATGCACTTATAACAGATGCAGATAGTCAATGAATATGATTACTGTCATAATGCAATCAGAAATAAGTTCTTCTGTCCCCATCATGCTAATTGCAAGTCACCTAACAGAAAAGAAGATAAAGATTAAGACAAATACAGTCATAGAAAATGTAACTGTTTTATACCTCAGGGGGTGGCAACCGAATTGAGCAAGCCTCCACACTGATACAAAGCTGCCTCTCTGATACATAGAAGTCTATAACTAAAACAAAAATAGAGCACAAAGCTCTGTTTTGATATACAGTTCAACTGTTAGACAGAAAGCTAAACCAAATGTTTATTTAAAATAGTTGTTAGTCAAAATGCTGTGTTCGAAAATCAAAAGGCTAGACTTCTTTGGCATGGAAATCAAAATTAAGTGTATTTTAATTATGAAAAATTAAAATAATAATGAATTATCATCCATACAGTACACCTCCCTAGGAACTGATGGCTGCCTATGCAACTGGATGCTTGATATTCATGTCCTTGATACACAAACATCCATTTTCAAAGCAAATGTTGTTCTTATAACCATTGGCTGTACTGAGTCATCTAGCCCAGTATTACGAATCCAGAAGTGGTCAACTGGAAAGACTATCTGAGCAAGGCAAGCATTTATTGATACATGTCCAGAACATTCACCCAGCTCTGAGCAAGCTATAGCACATAGATTGAATGCATTATGTTCCTCAACACATGTCCCTGTTACAAATTTTGGCTCCAATACCCCTAAATGTAACCTTTAACTTTTATACTGGAACAAAAGTATTTGTAATTTTTGCAATAGCTAAGAAGCATGCTTTGTGACTCAACTTTTGTGCACAGAAAATATAGTATATACAGGACAGTCACTTTAGCTCGTTTTCCTAACTGTTACTATGGAACTTTCACATCACTTGCAAGACTCATGATCTGAGGCAAGTGCATCATAATTTTTAAATGGTAAATTTCAACCTATGGCTGCAGATTAATAGGAGAAAAATTACCTTTTTTGTGGGTAATTTTTCAAAGGTGCAGCTGAGCTGGCAACTACTATATACAAAGCATCATCTGCATCAAGTGTATGTTGACAGAGGTTATTTCAGAATGAAAAATGACAAGACATCGTGTTGGTAACACCAAGATCATATCAGTATGAAAACACATAACTACACCTTGCTCTCACAAGTTTACCATTAACAGAATATTGTACTTACCAACAGCATTTTGCCTTCCTGAATGAGACAAAAAATCTTTTCCTTAATAAATAAAATAGATAGACATTATTTTTCTAATCCATATGCCTAATGTCTTCATGCAAAATAAAAGGGAGAAATCACAGTTTCATTTGTGTGTGTCATGAACGCTGAAAGGGTTGTTCCTTTTAAGGACAGAAAAATCCCTCTACCAACTAACTTTTCACCAATTCATTAACATGTATAAAAAAGAAAGATATATGAAGGTATATTAGTGGTCAGCAATTTATACATTGTTTCTTCCTCCCAGTAAGAAATTTATACATAGAACTATTTCTAGTTGACCAAAAGTTCATAAATTTCTCAGCTTCAAAAGCAAATCTCTATAGTATTACTACATATTTTACCATATATCAGCAGTTTTGCCCAGCTTTAGCAGCATATATGATTAGACAAGCTGCATGTACCAGAGTCACATTGCTGTTAGTCAATGTCTTTCACTGAAATCAGTTTTATATCAGCTATCATCTAGCCCACTACTTCTAGCTGCTATTCCTGAATAAGTTTTCATTCAGCGAGCTATATATTTTGAAGATGCTGAAAACAAAATACTATTACTAATATGTCTGGAAATAAAACATTTACAGATATACTTTTCTCAATGTATATTTGGAATAATCTATACAATTGCTCTACTTGATAAGAGCACACCACAGTATCTGAAACACATCTGGTTTTCCATACTTTGGTAATTCAGATATCCCACACAGGCGTTAGCAGAGATGTGTCAAACGAACTATCATCTAGAAAGACAGAACTTGGTAGAAGGAGGTGGTCTGACAGAAAAACACTTCTGTATTAGACAAGCATGCAAACCATGTGCACAAGTACCACTGATGAAAGCATGAATCTGAAAAACAGGCCAAATTTTTAGATGTTTACTGTCCAACAACATTTGATTTGGAAACTATTAGTATGTTACATTCAGTTGAAATAATGATTTGATCTATTACAAAAATGAGGAGGAAGATGAAAAAGTGAATGATATGTCCATTCACATTGTTAATTTGAATCACTGAACCTGGACAAAGGAACAACAAAAATGCAATCAAATAAAAAAAGTCATAGGATAAATGAATGAAATAATAATGGAAATTAAATAATGATGGAAATTAAATTAAGGAAAATAAAAGCAACAATAAAGAACTGAAAACTAAATGCTTGATCTCTGACCCAGGTGAGTCAAATACCTTGCACCAAGAGATGACCAGCCTTGTTCCATCTGGGTGCAAGTCTGGCTGTAAGTGTGTAGGAGAGACAGGTTTGGAGAATGGCTGGGGTTACTGTTTGTGGTGCTTCCAGCTAATAATATAATTGAGAAAAGAAAAACACATCATTAATAATTTAACAGATTTTTTTAAAGGCTTCACTCAAAATTTAATCAAAGATACTGCTACTGCATCTTGGAGGCAAATGCTAGCATACATTACACATCTTTACTTTTTGTCTACTTAGCTACAAGAGGAAGTTAGCACAATATTTGATATAGAGATTTAGATTTCATGTGTCATCAAAGTAAGATGCACTACAATTAACTTAATGTTTTCACAGAGCTGGTAATAGACTTGGGTAAAAACATTAACTGAACTATATGGAGTACTTTACTAGATATGCATCTGTTTCCAGACAATAGGCACAACATCCAAAATGTACATATATTAACACCGCTTTCAAACTCAAGACCAGAGACATTTTTGAGCATCACAAGAACAACACATAGACCAGCAGTACTACTTGCCTGTCCTGCATAATTTTCTGTTGACAGTTAGCATCAGTCAAGAAAAATAAACTAATTACAATGGGTTAAAAGGAGTTAACTAACACAGCTCCAGGAGGATATTCCTGCTGAGATCCTGCGCTCACGGTTATTAAATATACTTAGTACTACTAGTCTGCTGGTGTTGGAAAATCTAACAATGACAGGTCAGTTACACATATCAACATAAAGCAGTTTTGTAAGGCAAGCATGTTTGAACAGTATATGTCTTACAATCCAGATATGAATTTAGACTTCTTGGAACAAAGGAAAATATACCCAGCTGGCTCTGCAAATGAATCATGAGAGCTACTGGCTTTGATTACAGTCAGTCTTTTGACTCAGAAATTTTAGTGTGTCCATACACACATTCAGAAAACCCACAAATACTGCATATTAGAAGATAGTAAAGCATACGCATAACAGCCTAAAAATATATCAGATGTTAAGCTCATCTCTATGTTTTTGTTTTCTTTCTCTGAGACTGTCCTACACAGGCTGGGTAAATCCAAAATGAGAATGGGGAGACAGTTCAGCTGTCTGAACACCTCCACCAGTGGAACCTGCAGGGTACATGCAGCTGGGGTGACACCAGCAGGAAAGCTGCAGGTCTTTGGCCTGAAGAGCAGGTCTGTTGTTGCCTCGAGGTCGAACCCCAATGCCCCTGAGCAGGATCAGGATCCCACTGCAGCAGAGAAATCTAGTGAAATTGCTCAGGAATTTCTTAAAACTTTTGACTCTGACAAAATATACTTACTATACCCAGACTCATATGACACATTTTATCTATGGGACAGACTTTTTACCCTGAATCTTGGCTTTTGTAGTGCAAATTGTACACCCTAGAAAAAATACTCATCTCTGTCAACAGCAGTTCCAGACAAGTGTCACAGTCTTAAGGACTGTGACATTTTTCAGCACTTACGATAGCTCCTTGTTTCTCTATGTAGGCTTGACATATTCCCGATTTGTAAAATGGTATCTAAAAATTAAAAAAAAAAAAAAAAAAAAAAAAAAAAATCAAGTGTCTGAAATTAAGGGGTGATTTAGCAAATCATAAAGTATATTCTGGTCCATCAGTGACTTTGCCTAAGAAAACCATGATAAGGAATAGTTAAAGCAAACACCATATCCTGTATTTTAAAGGAGAGTGGTAACTAAAATTAGTTCAGGCATTTGTCAAAGTGTAATCTTGCTTCCAGCTAAAGATACATTAACAAGCAAGCAAAAGACCGACCAAAATAAAAGTGCAGAACTCTGCCCCTGCTGCTCTCAGTTTGAACTGGGTGGGATCTTACCAACTGAGTCCAACCCAATCCACAAAAGGTTCACCATCTGAAAAGGCCATTTCATCAAAAGAACAGAAGACATAAGCTGTCAACTACATTACTAACGCACAAAAATAGAAGTTTGCTTTAAATGACATAATTTTACTTATCCTTCATCCTCAAACAAAACAATTCTTAGAGAAACATGCATGTATGTGTGACGAATACAATTGACTCCTAGCCATACTTTGGTTCAGGCTGGCCAAGAAGCAACAGGCCTCATGTCCTTGGGGTGAACTTGCAAGCTGGAAAGCCCCTGGCTCATGTGCAAGGGAGTGAAGGTGTCTTGAAAACTAATTCAAAATGTGGTTTCGAAACCCGAAAGTACATGATAAACAAAGTATAGAACAAGATATCAGAGCTGAACTGAAGACATCTGTCTTGTCTATACCATTGACTAGCAGCCAACTACTTCACCCTATAACTATTAAAATCAGGATGAGCCCAACCGGAGCTCTCCCTGAATAGCAGCTGGCCTGCATGCCAGGCAACTTTCCCCTTGAGCAGGGACACCTCTGAAGGTTAGAGATTCCTTATCTGAGACTAGAGAGCCTGACTTACCCAAGGCAGATAGATCCCTTACCCTTGACTGATCCTCAGTAAGTGACTGATAGCATGCTGAATTAAAGCTATGAAGCATTACTAATCCATGTAGCTACTTAAGATATTTTAAACATTGTATGGATAATTCCATTAGACATGAACCACTGACCAAATCTGAGACTAAGATTGGATCCAGCCACACCTAGGATCCAAAAAGGAGTTTAGAAAGCAAGGGGATCCACTCTGAATCTCATGACTCAGCAGAAGAGTCCTTTACTCAGCGCCTCCGGTCTCTGTATGAGTCATTGTAACCTAATTTTCCTTTGCATGCTTTTTTGCATGCAGTAATTAATAAGGTGAACCTTACTGAACCTTTCAAATTCACTGTTAAAGTTTTGTTAAATTACATCGAACTTACTTAACTCTGTCAAATCATTATTTTACCTCAATAAAACATATTGCTATTTCTCTCTTTTGAGCAAGGTGCATTCTGTTCATCTGCAACACTATGTAACTACATATGCTTATTTACACAGTGATACTGACCGCCATTACAACTGAAATTTGATTTAGTGTTCCAATAACAGGTGCAGAAAGGATGTCTTCATGCAGGAATAATAACTGCCTATTAAAAAAAAGTTAGAAAAAAATTTTAATATTATTTTATGTACTTAATTTTCTCAGATTAAATTTATTTTCCTCATCTTCTGCAAACTTAATACATCCTATTTCTAATTGGTTTCCAATGGCTCAGTATAATATACTGGACTACTCCAAGTTACTTGCTCTTAACTAACAAAGACTACAGGCCTTTGGCATGTTTGGAACTCTTCAAAAGTGTTCCTTTTGGCAGAATTTCTCACTTCTCCCCTTTCCTATTAAAGGGAATGGCATACTGCTTGGTGAACCCTAAGGAGCATACATACGCTTTCCAAATATTCTTTTCACTCAGTCTCAACCAATATAAAACATTCCAACTTTGCACGTGAACACAGATTAATTTTTTACTAGTTATTAATTTGAAGTAGGTGGGCTTGTCAGTTTTAGCTAATGACATTGAAAACATATATGTGATTTTTCTTCCTCAGTAGCCAGCAAGTCTCCCACAAAAAAAAAAAAAAAAAAAACAAAAAACCAAAAACCCCACCCTATTTTGAACAATTTTATATTGTTTGCTGCTGATAATAATTTTGCTGATTTTATTACAGTTAATTCTAGTACTGCTAATGAAATCTTTGAACAACCACCACCAAGAGGTTCTGAAATAATAACCCTCAGAATTCTCTACCTGCAAATCTTTATCTGTGTACTCCTTGTCTCAGTTTCCGGTATCTGAGAACTCAGTGTTACTGTAGTGGCGCAGAGTTTTTGTAGTTCTGGCAGACTGACAAAGAACAGAGACTGGTGCCTGGTGTCATTCATCTTATATTGTTGATTGCCCCAAAGTGGTGTCTGGGTCTTAAAAGAAACATTGAAATTAATTTTTATAAGGCAGATATTTGTTTACAGAACTTTAGAAGTATATGGTATGAGGGAAATGAATAATCAATTATCTTCTGATTAAGATTAGGTAGGCAATATAACATAATTTGGTCAACTACAACAGACAGCTCAAATTTCTATAAATAATACATTATACTTGAAAAAATAATTATTTGCAAGTGTCAAAATATTCAGAGTAAAGACAAGGACAAAAGCATCCTTTCCATCTTCTTCTCAGTCTTCAATGGGGCTGAAATCTATCTGGGATCCAAGAGCTGAGGAGTCCGTCTGTGATGTCACTCCCCTCCCGTCTGGCAAGAAAGTTGAGTTCCCAGGAGCTCAACACCACAGAAATATGGAGGCACAATGGAAATGTTTTCCTTTTTCCCCACAGCAGGCTCCCTTCCTAGTGGAACAGAGAACTTGTGTGCTCCCTGCTTAAATCCACCTCTTTTCTCAAGCGACAGGTAAACACCATATTCTAACCTGTGCAGAACTGAATACAATCCTACACCAGACTGAAAGCTGTAGTAATCCAGAATTGCATTTGGCTATGCGATTAATAATGAACACAGACAACTTGTTCTCCCATTCTTGCTCTCAAAGGAGAAATGTATGATGAACAGCATTTTGTCTTGGTGAGAATTTTTAATAAGAACACTCTTACGTACTTAGCAAAAGATGAAGAAAACATAGCTGGTATTTGGAGTGCAATGTGATTAGATATACAGCGGTTCTACCAAAGCTGTCTCTCACATCCTAAGCTTTGCCTTATATTAGAAATGATATTTTGTGTTCAAGAGTATGAGGCAGTTTGGGGCTCAGGCCACAAGTGTAATCTTGAAGTGTGCATGACCTGATATTTCATGAGAATTTAGAATAGACAGTACACGTATGTGCACTGCCATACCACTAAGCAGATATGCTGCAAAGCTATCATTTTCGGAACTTCCTAAAAAGCACCGAAAAGAACAACCAAAAGAACCAGAATTTCAGACTGAGAATATGATCCTTTGATGCAGTAGTAACAAATGTCATGTCAGTGGGAGTAATATGAAGTTATGGCTGTTACATGGCCTGTTGTATGCTCCTATGTATTGCAGCACAGGACAGATTCAGTGTAAAGAAACTATTAGATTTGTGACAAAAAAGAACATCTAAAATTTCATTATTTAAAGAAAATACACCTTTTAACTATAGCACCGTTCCCAGTCAAAGTGTTTCAAAGAAAAGCAGGTAGGTAGAAAGTCTGCTTATGAAAATCCAGGAACAAACACTGCACACCAGGGAAAGCTGGTTTAATAGTTCTTCCCCCTCCAAACCTAAGACCCTTTTGGGAAATGGTCTTACCAGTGCAGTGAAGATAGCAATAAATATTTTGTTTCCAAATTTTATGAAGTCATCAGGTATTTATCTGAAAAGCAATTTCGCGAATTGTGATCAAAAAATGATGAACTGGAAACATTTTTTGAGGAACAATGTCAAAGATAACTTTGCTGTTCTGATTTTGCTTTGCCTTGTTGCAGTGTAACACATTAAAATGATCAACCTCAGTCATATTCTAGAAAAATCACAAGGTCATTGTTTTATAACTGTAATTTAAAAGAAAATAGCATGTTTTCTTGTTTCTTACCCTTAAAGGAAAACACATTTAAAGTTTTTTCTAGCAATCATAAGAAGTAGATTTTTTAAAAATGCCAGCCAAGACTATCACTTCATCAGAGAATTCCAAAAGCTACAGCTTAATGGAAAGGACAATTTCAAACAAATGAGAAAAAAATCTTGTCCATCTGCAAGCACGGAAAAGAAAGGCTGGGTCCTCAGCTTTCATAATGTTTAAAAGAATCCTAAATGGCCAGCTGGGGATTTTTGTGTCAAAGATGTTGTAAAACACATGCTGCAATGCTCCAGTGATCTGCTTGCTGTTTGAGGCCAAGTCCCCTGTGGGAACCACTCGCTGTATCCAGCAAGTTAAATCTTCCCAGTCATCTTAAAAGCTAATGCAACGGAGCGCTTGCAAATGGCTTCTCCCTTCAGGGGAGATGACAGAGTACCAGTTAATATAGAACTACCAGTTAAGACAGAACTACCAGTTATAAAACATAGGAAATAAACCCAACTGCCTACTGTACAAGTAGGAGAACTTCAGCTTTGGTGAAAGAAATTACATCTTTAAATGCCAATAATCACAACACGTGAACTTGAAACCACCACAGAGTTCCTGCTAAGATGAACAGGACATCAGACGGAGAAGGGCTATCACTGGTTTCCTGTCAGGACAGATAAATCACAGAGCTTGGTGGTGGTATTTGTTATTTTCAGTAGTGACCTGGAAGATGGAAGAAGAGTCTCTTTATTAAAGCCAAGAATGCCACCAATCTGTGAGGGACAGGAGCTGCCCTTCCTGTTAGGCTGACTAATGAACTAGAGACCGGATCTGGAGACTGGTGGCATTCAGCAAAGTACAAAGCTGTCCTGCACACAGATAACCAACAGCACCCACTCAGGGAACAAAACTACCTAAGCACCAGTGTTGAGGGAAGGTGCCTCGATGGGTCGCGCTGGGTAAATTTTACATCACTGAAGTTATGCTGTAAACAAACCCCACAAAAAAGCCCTGGCCTATAATGGTGCTGGAGGGTGTACATGGGGTGACTGCTGTTGAGGCACCAAAGTAGCCTCCGGGCATGGCCCAGCACGGGGTGCTGCGGGGACAGGGACAGCCGTTCTGGCCCAACAAGCCAACAAAGACACCAAACACACCCGAGGCCAGAGCCAAGCAACCAGGTTTTAACTTTAACAAACCTGAAGGAAAACAGGGTGGCGGGCGGGTGAAAGGCCGTCACCAAGAGAAGGGGAAGGCGCTGCTCCCTGTGCCCTCAGCCCACGCGGCAGCGAGGCCTGGGGGCGGGCAGGGGGGGGCTGTCCCCAGGCCCGCGGGACAGATCTCCCCAGGCAGGGCGAGGGGCTCCTGGGCAGCCGGGAGGGTTCGAGGGGCGGTAAGGTCGTACCTCCGCCAGCGGCGCTCCCCCCGCCACCCCGCCGGGTTCCCTCAGGGGCTACGCGGGGTGCCCCCTCGGGCGCGCGCCTCCCGCCTTCGGCGCGAGCACCCGCCGGGCGCGCGGAGGGGGAGGGCAGGCAGGGCGGGCAGCGGGCGCGCCGGCGGCCCGCGGAACCCGCGCGGCACGTGATCGGCGGGCCCGTCACGTGGCGGGAGCGGCTCCCGCCCGCGGCGGGGCGAGGGGGTGGGGCAAGGGGCCGCCGGCCCGCCCTGCATGTCCCGCCCCCGCGGCCGACCCAACCACGGGCCGGCGGCCGAACGCCTTCTTTGAAAGGCATTTTGCCCCTCCAATGAGAAACCGGTGTGTGGGGGGGGGGGGAAGGAGGGGACGGCGGCGGGTGGTGATAGGCTGGCGGCGAGGCTGCGGCCGGCGCGCGCGCGTGGGAGCGGGGCTATAAACGTGTGGTCGCGGGGGGCGCGGGGGCTTGTGGCTGTGTCTGTGGGCAGCGCCGCGGCGCCGGGGAGATGGTGGGCTCTGGCGAGGTGGGGGGCGAGGCGTGGCGAGGCCGGTACTACCGGCTGGAGGAGGTGCAGAAGCACAACAGCAGCCAGAGCACCTGGATCATCCTGCACCACCGCATCTACGACGTCACCAAGTTCCTGGACGAGGTGGGTGCCCCCCCCGGGGGTTGTGGGGGGGGGGGGAGGAGAGGCGGGGCGCAGCGGCGACCAGCGGCCTCCCCGAGCGCCGTGGGGCTGTGGGAGCTCGCCGGCTGGCCGCCGTGGGTGCGGCCGGCCGTCACCGCGCCCCTCGGAAACGGGCGTGGGGCGGCCGTGGGGTTCGGGGGGAGGTGGGGCGACCCGGCGGGGCGGCGGCCGTCCCTCGGCCTGCGCTCGGGCAGGGAGAACCCGCGTGTGCCGAGCACGCCGCCCCCCTCTCGCGTGTAACGCTGCTCGGAGCTGCCGTCCCCCCTCCTCCGCCTTTAAACTTTTTGCCTGGGTAGAACTGAAGTTCCACGCGGGCTTTGTGCGCTCGCCGCTGTCCCGGCGTGGGCACCCCACGCGGCACTGCCGAGCGGCGAAAGGTCGGGCTCTTCCGTGGTCAGGTTGAAAGCTTTTGGCTGTTGTGGGGTTTTTTTGTTTTTTTGTTTTTTTTTTTTTTTTTATTCGCTAGTTAACGATTGATGGGTTTGAGTGCTTGGTGGTGACAAACAATCGCTGTAATCATTGATAGTCATGGTTAATAAAGAAACGTTTTAGTTATTGCACTTAAAACACTCTTTGGTGGAGACGCTGAAATGCAACTACTGAGCAATTTTTTTTTCAGTATTAAATGTGTCTAGGACTTATTAGTGATATTTTGAGGGTTTTTTTCCCCTCACTCGCGTTATTGCCCGTCTGCAAAGGTCCTCAATTAAAAAGTGCTGTGGTAGGCTTACATTACTTTATTTGAGAATACGGTTCAGATTGCTTAGAGACATGCCAATATTCAGGCCTCGGTAGTTCTGTAGCCCCATCTTGATTTTTGTGGTTGTAAACACTTAAAATTCAGAGTATTATTTGAGTGTTTTGCAGATAAGAGGTCAACATACAATTGTTCAAAGGCAGTTTTGAGACCGGTAGTGTTCCATTCTTAAGCTGTGTGCTAAGCACAAATTGTCTGGGTTTTTTCAGTGAGGTGAATTGTGAAACTGATCTACTGACCCTTTCTTGATTGTTTTTCATCTAGCTCTGTCCCTGATCTGCTTCACCCTTTAGTTATGGAAACGTTTGGTTATGCAGGCAAGGCCAATTTAATTACAGAAGCCCTGGAAGAGAATGCAGTTTTTCATGCAGCTTGAGAAATTGAAGTATCTGTGCTTGGAAACTTGATCAGTTTTGGTCGATGCATAATTGTATAAGCACTTCCAGACTGTTGGGGAGGGGAGGGGGGGAACCCCACCGAAAAAAAACAACATTAAGTCCCCCCAAAAAGACACACATGATAAAAAAAAAATCCAGGGTCTAATGAGCTTTTAGATTTTAGTTGTGCAAGCAAGCTGATAGCCTCTTCCTTCAGCACATGTGATGAAATTGGTAAATATTAAGAGGCACTAACTTGTGCAGATTTCTCCAAGAAAGTCTTCATTTCAGCCTTCAGGACAATGTTGCTAATCCAGCAGCATATTAAAATAATTCAGTTGGTAAGCAGTTAAAAAGGTGTTTCTTGAACAACTCTGGGATGTCTGATCCACTCTAGTACACATGGGTCAAATTTCAGCCTCAAGTTAAACAGCTTTCAATAGAATATAGCTGGTGTTGGAGCTGAAATTTCTGGGTTGTATTCCGAGGTAATAAATGAGATTGGATAACTTTTTTCAACAAAGTATCTAAATGAAGCTGCACTCCTAAGGAAAGTTCTTGGATATTGTGATGTTCATTGTGTTGATGATTTTGGGGATGGAACCAGTGGATTAAAGTATTTCGTAGGACACTTTTTAACCTTTTTTTGAATGCTTTTAATACCCGGTTAATTTCATTTTCTGTACCCAGTTACTCAAGTAATGTGCCAATTCTTTTGACACTGTCAGACATCCCAAGGTATTTACATGCAACAGATGAGGAGAAATTGGAATTAGCCTCTTGCTGGTGCATTCTGGAGTACAGTAAACACTTCTTGGTTAAATGGGGATTATGTCAGCTATTTCAATAGCACTAGTGGTCAAACTCAGTTTTACTTCTTGCACTTCCTTACAGGAGTAGGAAAGTTTAAAATTTGAAGAATTAAGTGTAGGCTACTAAAACAGCTCCTGTAGTACTAAAGAGGATGCACTGCTAAAGCATCACCCCATTCCTGCTCTTCCCAAATAGTAAATAAGTGTCAGTTTACTGGGGAGTGAAGAACTGGGAAGCTGACTTCACCAGTCCCATTTCTTAATTCAACGCTTTCCAGCCACTGCATTAACCTGTGGAAATATTTTCTTACTGATTATGAAGTTGAAAACTCTACAGTGCCTCAGTGCTAATGACACAGTGGACACTCTCGTGCCTAGTAAGTGGAAGTATGCTGCTGCCTTTCACTCCGTCACAGTACTTAAAGGGTGTCTTTTTGCTGTTCAGCTGTTGTCCCTTCATAAAGGTTGTAGATGCTTAGTGAAACTTGTTTGGTTTTGCAGAACCATCAGCTGCTGTGAACACTTGATTGTGAAGTTAGGTGGTAAGTGGACCAGGGTGGTGATGTATATGTGATGGGGGTGGTGAGGCTGAAAAGGAGTGGAGGCATCGCATAGTGTGACCATTTTAGTTTGGTTTCCTAAGGACAAGGCTTAAAAAAGATCACATGAAATACGGTGAAGTACTGGAGGAGAAGAGGATTGTCTACTTTGACACCTTATCCCGGTGAAAATTCCAGCAACTGCTTTTATATATTTTTTTTATTATTATTATTTTTTAAATGGCAGACCTCAGGGAAACTTTATAACTTGAATATACATCTCTGACTTTTTTCTTTAATTATCAAAGTATATTCTCTACAAGAGGAAATCCAAAGACCTCAGCCGTTGGAGTGCAATATCTGAAAGCTCTTGTCATGGAAGACTATACTTGAGACCAGAAAATTGTGTATCACCTTTTCACTCAATGGCTGTTGGATCTGTATTACAGAAAATTTGGGAAACCTTTTCATAGTTTCAGGTCCTACATCATTTAAGGGAAAATAGCTACTAGGAATACATGTGTACTCACACCGTGATCCAAAGGCTATACCTGTATTACAGGTAATTACAGATGTGAATAATATTAAATGTCAATTAATGGGTTAAGTATGTTGGTAATGCTTGATAGTATTTCTGCATAGTTTAATAAAGCAATCCCACTAGTCAGGCATTGATGTCAATCTAATGACCTAAATAAGAGTAGCTGGGCTTACAAAAATAAGAATGAAATTATCAGTGTCTTGATCTCCTTCCCACTGTGGTGAAAGTCCTTCCTATAGCTTTTGTGGGAACTTGGTTGGGTTCCTTAAACTAGTCAGAAGCTAATAAAGTAGGAAAATCTCTACCTGTGAGAAGTTCCTTGTTCTGGAAACTATGGTATGTATTTAATATTAATCTAATACAGACTTTGTTTAGGTTAATTCAATAGTTAGTGGTCTCAAAATTTATCAAAAATACTAATGGCCAATGAAAATGGGTTTTCTGTAAGGTGTGAGTTTGTACTTTCATAGCACTGTTTCTAAACAGAACAGACCGCTCCCATGAAATGTGTTTTGGAATGCTGATCAAATAAAGGGCAGAAAAACAAATATTTTACTCTGTCAGAATGAAAATTATTTGCTCTGCTATGTGGTGATAAATTATTTTCATCCAGCATCATAATATTGTGCAGTAGTGTAATAGCTTCCATGTTTATGGTAGTGAATAGCTTGCATTGAAAGGTTCTGGTACTAGTGTATCTTGAAGTCTGTCAATGTACTGTCTGAATTTTTAATGCAGAACCTTACAGTCTAAGGATTAAAACCAGTGTTATCACTTCTTTAAGCTCTGATGAAGCTTGCCAGGAGGATTTGAAAATGCTTAGCATTCTTTTATGCAAGACACTGCAAGCTGTAATTGTTTTGTAAGTGGGGAAATTGATACCCAGCTACTGGGTGTTTCTTTTGCAGTTCATCTAAAACCCTAACAGTGGTTCTCAAAAACACACTCTTATAAAGACATCTATTCTCTTAGGCTCCTAAAATGAGTACAGAATTTCTGTCCTGTAACTTCAATAGGTGATGGAAATAACGTGGAGGACTCTTCAGACTACATGCAAGTGCCCTTAAAACAAAAAAAGCATTGGTCTGTCTTGCACAATAAAGCTGAGGTTCTCTGGGTCTCTGGCTTGGTCACTACCCCTTTCTGCTTCTCATTCTGTTGTGCAGAAATCAAAACTTGAATTTATAAGGCTGTCACTAGTGAAGACTTTTGCTGATCTCGCTGAAAGTTAAGTTGGACCCTAGATTTGATTTCGCCCAGTATGGGAAGGGAGGGGGCAGGAATTGTAAATTAAGGTAGTTATAGTTTAATAGAGTCTTGAACTATGACACTGAGAAAGTTGCATGACTGTAGCAAGGGGGAGAAGAGGAGATAGGCATTCAGGATGAAGTAATCACAGACTTCTGACCCAGATGAGAGCAGTGAGTTTAACTGCTTATTTGCTTTATTTACAACTTGCTAAATGTACTGCTGTTGGGAATTAGTCTATGTATATACTAGTTCTGGCTCTATACAGACATCTGTTAGGTGTGTAACTTAAATATCTTGGTTATTACGTGGGAGTGTCCTAGGAATGGGCTAGACTATTTTAATTTATCAGCAAAAGCTTTTTCATTCCCTTGAACCACAGTTTCACCTGCAAAAATGCTTCACTTATTTCTATCAGCAGGATTTTGATTTAGGAGTCACTATCTGTATGATCTTTTGAGCTTTCCAGTTCCAGGGTCTATCCAGAGACTCTTCATTAAAGTAGAAAATCTGGTAGCAAGCTTTGTTTACCAGGCAGAAGTGTGAACAAAGGCCCTATATAAACAGAGAAACTCATTGAACCATGGAAAATGCTGATCTTTTAATAAAAAAGTCACTACTTGCCCTTTCTGAGACATTAGTTGCTCCCTTTCATTAGGGGGAGATGAGGTCTTAATTAATTGCATGTATCATGTGCTAGTTGTTTGCAGAAAGTTTGTAAGTTTGCATCTTTAAGCAGAGGTGTCATCTCAAATAAAAATGTTTCGTTTCAAAGTACTTCTATGTATGTCTAACAGGTTACTAGTAACATCACAAGCTAGATGGCATGAGTTGTGAACTCTGTGTGTGATTCTCTCTATCTTAGTCTTGCTGATGTGAGGAAAAACTACTGCCAGCTTTCCAGCTGCGGTGGCAGAGGTCAGGGTGAGTTTGTCCCCTTCAGCTGATGTGTGATAGCCACTGAGAGGGTTGGTCGCACTCACTGTGTTGACATTGATATTGTGGTTTTGTAGACAGAGGGATCAGTTATTAATTAGACCAGAGAAAAGCTGGAGTGCCTCAGTGAAGCTGACCATATAGCTACATGATTGCTTTGTAGTGGCACAAGGGAGGGATTTGGGAACAAAATAGTGTATGATCATTCTGCAGGTAGTTTGTTGAAGTAGTCCATGAAATTGTTTTAATGTAGATGCAGTTATACTGATAGCTACCCAGTTGTTAGTTTGGTTGGTGAATTTTTGGGGGGAATTAGTGTAAACCATATGATCTTGGCAACTTGCTGGAATAACTAGTGTTTTTTCTACTTGTACAGGTGGGGTTTGGTTTCATTGCAATGCATAAGTATGAGTCTACATACTACTTGTGCTACTAGTGCTTTATGGGTAGTTTAATGTCTTCTGTTACTTGTTGATGTTTTGTTTAAGTATGTTTTCCAAGGAGTTTTGCCTTTTCTGCTAAAGATGGTACATACATTTTTGTATTCTGGAGAGTGCAATTCTTTAGCATGGTATTAAAAAAAACAACAAAAAAACCCAAACAAACAAACAAAAAAACCCACCAAAACCTGAAACCCCACATTGCAGAAGGACTTCTTTGAAAACTGACTTGTGGCATTATCTGGGAGAGCCTGTTAGACCCAAGTTCAGCTTCATAAATGTGCTGTACATTTCAAGGTGCTGAACTGGAGTCATCCCTCAACTTTTGTGTAGTCCTTTCCCTGAATACTTATCAGAATGGATTCAAGGGCAGGATTTTGGTCAGCATGCCATATTAGCACGTCTGCTTGCATAATCTTTACTCTGCATGCACTCTTTTAACCTTTTTTGGCTCAGCTGCTGTGTCTAATCTCTTTATCAGTTGCTTAATCTTGCTTTTGCTTAGTCATGGTAGGGATCCCTTACCCTTCTAGCTGTGCTATCTTGGCTCTTTAAAAAAAGTATTGGGTTTTGGGGGGTGTGGTTTGTGGTTTTTTTTTTTTAAAGGAACTTTCTTAAGATAAAAGTCAGCCTTTAATGAAAAGATTCGAGTTCTGGTACGGCTGAAAACTGGTAGTAATAGCGTCATCCTGATCTGTATGAACAAGTCTTATTTTCACTGGAAGAGAAGGATTGATGGGAGATTAATATGGTGGATTTGAAGTAAATGCTAACCAGAATTGCCTAGACTAGCAGAAATATTTATGCCATTTCTTCAGTCTACTGCCTAAGCATAGCCTTTCTGTTCAGCTATTCTCAAGGCAAGATGACTTAAATAGTTGAAATTTTGCCTATTTTCATCATTTTACATCCTGTAGTCAGAAGCATTAAAAATGGAAAAGAGGCTCCAAAGCCTTATTTCCTTTGTCACTGGGCATGTTAAGAGTTTTTCATGGTCACCAAAGCAGTAGTAAAGTGCTTTAAACTTGCTTACCTAATAATAATTCCTGGTGTTTATGTAGCAGTTTTCTACTTGAGTGGTGAATTTTTATGGTATGTTACTTATCTGTTATATGAATGAGTAACTTGAAGCTGAGAAAATTCAATGAACTAGAAAATGTGATGCATCTTGCAGTATGTACAGACAGTTGGAAGTATGGAACTGCATGCAATCCCAAAAGTGCATCCTGGGAAAGAATATAAGTCAATGAAGAACAGGCATTTAGGTTAAGGGAATGGTCATGGTTTGAGTTATTAGGAGAAACTGTGAGACAGCTTCTCTGCATCTCAAGGGTTTTATCAGCAATGTGGTTTTGGGATTCCAAAGTCTGCTAAAAGCAAATTGCTATTCTGGCGTCTTGTATGAGCTTTCAGTTGTGCTAAAACATCTCCAAAACAGCTGGTTTACTAGATAATAATACAATAATTTCTTTTGGAGAGGGTGCTTGAAGGTTATCTGGTCCAATTCCCAGCTCAAACTAGTATTAACTTGAAAGTCAGTTTCCTTACTGCCTTGTGTAGGCAACCTCAAAGGATGGAGATTGTGTACTCCTTTGCCAACTTATTTCAGTGCTTGCGTGCTCTTCTTGTGAATAGCTTTGTTACATCTACCTGGAACGTTCGTGATGCAATTTACACCTTTTTAGTTTTTAACCTTTTGCTGTATAAAGCGTTGTTTGGATAAAAATACATATTTCCTGCAGAAGTGAGAACACAGAATGCAACTTTAGATAATAGTTGGACTGTTAGACTGACTGATTCTCATAATCTAAATGCATTAGTTGCTGGGGTAATGCTGGTTACTGCTCTGTCACTGATGGAGTAGAGATTTGTCTTCCTTGGTTTTGGCTTCAGAGAGTACATAAACCTCTCTAAATAACTAGAGAGGCTTATGCTTACTCTGAGAAATCTAGAAGCTTATTTTGTGAGGACTTTTATTTTTAGAAATGTAGAAATGAAGCATTTCCATTTTTAGAATGTGCAATGGTTTTCAGTAACAAATTCAATCTCATTAAAAACTGCAGCACCCAGGTGGTGAAGAGGTCCTCAGGGAGCAAGCTGGGGGAGATGCTACTGAGAACTTCGAAGATGTTGGCCATTCCACAGATGCAAGGACACTGTCAGAAACTTTTATTGTTGGGGAACTTCATCCGGTGAGTATGTGAGAGCACCAGTACTTGCTGTTTACTATAGTGTTTTTGTGTCTAGCTCTTTCTCTTGTAACTTCCTTCAAAATAAAGGAGAGCTACCAGTTTAGTTGGATGCCAGCCCTGCAGATGTTTGTAGGTGGACCTGGACTGCAGATAGGTTCCCCCAATGTGAAGGGATTTGATTAGTATAGCATAAGGATGGTCACATACAAAAGTTTTCTGCTTCAAAATATTTTACAGCTTAGTTCTTGACTAAACTGAGTATGGAACAGTGCTGTTTCTGGTGTACCCTGTGAGCTTTATAATGAGACTTTATAACCACTGAAGGTAATGTGTCAGAATGTCTAGACCTTTTCTTACGACAACATGCAGAGTGATTACTAACAGCCACTTTCATCACTGTAAATATACATGCCAGGCTTTCATCTGGATCTAAAATTACAATCCTGGTTCTTCATATGTATGTTTAGAAAACAGCTGTTGTAAGCATCGTACTTCTAGTTGGATGCTCTGTCTTTCCCCTCTCTGGTTCCCCCTGTTTGAGCTGTATCAGTGTTCCCTACTTGTAGTTGTCAGGATTGTTTCTGACCAGTTCCCACTGAACCATTTGTCATTTTCCTCTTTTCTATACTTTACCATTTCCTGTACTTTTTAACAAGCACCTTTCTGCTGCCTCGAGTTTTGAAGGATTTATTTCTAGCTACAGAGCTGCTGCCTTAGCTTCCTTCAGATAGATGCAGGAGAGCTTAAAAAAGGCCTTATTCATTGAAAAACACTTGTTAGAGGTTCAGGCTGCCAGTGTGTCCCTCTGTTCTGCTTTACTACCCATCCCTGACTCCTTCACTCTTAGTGTTGTGTATGTTTTGTCTTGCATTCAGGGTAAATATCTCTGTCCTGAGTATTTTATTTCATACTAAGATTTGTGATCTTGTAGCGGTTTTGGGCCTGCTTAATAAATGTGAATAGTGTAGTTTCTCCTAATAATTCAGCTCTGATGCATACTTGTAACTTTGTAGGCTTGCTACCTATTTCAGATGGCATTTGATTCCAGTAAGTTTAGTTAAGCCAGTGTTAACCTGGCTACCAGTCCAGTTCTTCCTTGTTTGACAAGTGCCTGTTTTCATTTGGTATGATACAAACAGCTTGATAGCTTAATACACAAATAGAGCACTGCTATGATACACTGTTAGGCTTTTTTTGTAATGAATGTGGCTATTTCAAGTAAAACTTCATGAGTTTATGAAAAGTCCATAGAATTTGGGACCTTTGCTCTGGATGTTGGACCAAAACTAGTTAAATGACTTTGCCCAATAGTACAACTAGACTAGGTAGAAGTAAACTAATGTGATTGCAATCAGTGTATAAGCTAAGGTTATGTGTACTGTTTAGAGACAAAGGAAATGCAAACACATGGGCACAAGAAATAATGAAATATGTTGGAGACTCAGTTTTCACTTCTTTATAGTGTACTGGGGAGTATTATTTAAGCAAGTGATCTTGTTCATGGTAGCTCAAAATTATACACTGATGTCTGCTCATTTGCAAGCCTGTTTCCTGGGTAAGAATAAGTATACCTTAACAATACCTAAACAGAATAAATTGCAAACTGATTTTAGTGATAAATGGTTTTTCCTTTTTTGAGTGCTTTGGGTTTTTGTCTAAATGTTTCTTGCTTGTTTTTTCTGCAGGATGATAGAGGGAAGCTTCAGAAACCAACAGTAAGTGTGTTTTGTTTAAATGCCACATTGTTTCATCTGGGCGTTGGGAACAGCATCTGTCCATAACTGGTATACCCCCAGAGGCAAACACAATTCAGCTGGATTTAAGTGTTGTGTTTCAGGTCATGAATCTCTTAAACCTGTCGATCTGGCTTCAAATTATTCTGCCTGTTAGCTGTTCTTTTCTTTAATTTGTGTGGTTTTGAACCAAGAGGTTAAGTGTGATGGCATTACACTGCAGCAAAAAGGTGAGACTAGAATCAGTCAATGGTTTTCTAGTATTCAGTTTAAGAAAAAAATCAGTTTATAGACAGAATAGATTAAATTAATAAGTGTTTGTGAGGGGAAAAAAAGATGCTTAACAATATATGGGTAACACTAGTAGATAGAGAATATACAGGCACTTGCTGTATTTATAGATCAGTTAATTTGCGACTGCGAACCCTTTTCAAGGTGAATATACTGTTCGCTTCCTGACTGGTTTGGAAGATTTTGAGTACTGCACTTATTTTTTTAAGGGTTTTTTTTAATCCTTATTAGAATAAAGTTGTGTTGGCACTCAACTATCAAATTTATAAAGTTTAGATGTCCCTTAAAGGAGCAAGTGCATCAGGGATTAGTTTGTACAGTTGCTGCTGCTGTGTGTAAAGAGGATATTTGCTCAGGGCTGGCTTAACAGAATAGCAATGTGCTTAGGAAATAGATGAAGATTATTTTTAAATGAAGTGTAGTGAGAATAGTAATTTACTCTTATTTGAGAGATTACTTTTAAGAAACAATCACTTTTGTAAGATCTTCCAAAAATACTAATAAGTTAAAAGAAAGGAAGTGTAAAAAAAAAAAAAAGCTGAAATATTTGCTATAGCAATTACTGACTTTAAGGACTGGAACTAGTATACTAATAAAAATAAGAAATGGAGTGATGGCTGGAATTAAGAGCTTCTTTCCACCAAGAATAACATCGCTATTCAGATTTCTTTTGAAATTCAGGGCAGTTTAACTTAAACTGTAAGAGCAACAAACGTGCAAGTTTTAGTATACAATCCCTTGATTAAGCTCACAGAAACTTACTAAATTGAAGTACTTGGTATGTTAGTTTGGCCAAAGTGTGGTCAGTTGGGAGTTAAGATGTATCCAAATTACTTTTTACTACACTCTTGTTTGGCTTACTCCCTTCTTTTAGTGCTGGTCACAGTTACTGACACTACATGTGTGTGTTCCATCATTCCAGAAGGAAGCTGGAGTGCTTTCCTCCAGGAGGACATGTGGGTGTAGCTGATAAGACAGTTTTGCTTTGCACTGCACTCGGTGGGTGGTGTGACAAGTTAGGCCCTGGCCCTCAAGGAGCTGTCAGAAGGCCTTGTGCTCTCAAATGTCCTTCTCATCCTTGCACTGTATATAAAGTACCATCAGTGTACATGTCCAGTGTTGTCGTGTTTAAAAGCAGGTTTTGACCAGCTGGGCCATATTTCTCATACTGTCTTGGTGTGAGGGGAACCATCCCCTGGCCCTGGATGTGGCAAGACTGTTGTAGAAGGTGTTAGTCTTGATAGTGTGGGCACAAGCTGCTTCATGCTGTTTGGCTTTGGGATTAGTTTTTGATGGGTATGTTCACAAAACCAGTATAGATGGGTCTTATTCTTTTAAACATGATATTTGTCACATGTAAAGCTATGATGATTTGAGTGCTTGCAGAAGTAGCCTGTTTCAACCTATGAGAGGATGTTGCGAATCTTGCTCTTTAAATGAATTGCAAATACTCTGATACTGAAACAATTAATTTTTCAGTGATGGATCTTGTACCACTAATTTTAAGTACAGTTTTAATGCTTGGATATTTTAAATGCACTTAGGGTCATCTGCCAACTGGTATTTGATCTTGTAGTACTTCTTTTTCTATGGCAACTGAACAAGTCCAATACCAGAAACAACTGTAATTTGACTGATTCTTAAGCCATCTGAAATGCCACACTAAAAAGCTTGAGTTCAGTAAGCCTTGTAGATGTGAATTAGTAGCTTTCTTCATGTAAGTTTGAGATAAGAAATATTTGTGTATTAATACAGAGTATTTTCAATTAAATTTTAGCCACCTAACACAAACATCACTTACTTGCCTAAAACTTTTCAAATGTAATTTAAGGTTGAAGTTAGCTTCATGGAAAACTTGTAGCAAAATTCATTGTGATATTTTTTTAATAACTTGATACAATGTTGACTACAGATAATGCTGCTAGCTAGCTTCTAATACAACAGTCTGTTACAGGAATTCTGAGAAAATACTTTTCAAATGCAATGCACTGAGTTGTTTTTAAATTAGTCCCACTTAATGAGTTTAGAAATTGAGGGGCTAGTTAAGATGGAGAGGGGTGTCTGCCTGATGTAAATATCTTCTTATGCTTTGCTTTCCAGGAAACTCTTATTACCACTGCTCAGTCTAATTCCAGGTATAGTATGACACCTGATGTTAAACTTGAAGTTCCTCATGATTATGTTTCTTAAGCCTAGAAAGCTTAATAGCTTTTGTCTGCTGGAAGCTTAGATGTCAGTTGATGGAGCATGAAAATTTCTGTTCTATGTCAAGTCCATGTTGGCATCTGTGTACCATTTTACAAGCATGTTAGCTTAGTAGCTAGATTTTTTTTTTTGCATTGCTGTATCAGTATCTACCAAATAGTTTGTTGCACAAGCCTTCATTTCTGGAGGCTCTCAGGTGAATAGAAGACACTTGGTGCCATTGCCAACTTTTTTTTTACTGACATGGATGCTTCATTTCTAAAATTTGATACAACTGTTGCATCTATGGGAAATAAGAGGATTGTGTGTCTAAGAAGGAACATCTGTTAGAATTGGAGGGGGCGGGGTTGGAAGAACCACTTTGGAACACCATTGAATCAAACTGTATAAAGTTTGATCCTGTTGACAGTTGCCTACTGATGAAGCCTCAGAGCACTGTTCCATGCCTCTCAGTGAGGAATTTGGGTGCTTCAGAGTGTTATGTGATGCTGCTACTTAAGTGGCTTTTGAATGAATGATATTCTGGGCAGCATGCCATGACTTTAAACATGTCTAGAGTCTTACTTTTCTCTAGTAAGCAGACTTCTTGTAAGCTCTAGTACAAAGCCTTAACATTACAGGCTTTTTTACTTGGCTCCTGTATGACTGGCCAGCTCAGGTGTTCTGTTGCTCTTTGAAGTATTTGTTGGAGTGGAGGAAGGACCTCTTTAAACAATGACTTTTTAAGAAAAAAATAACTTGCTGGTTGTCACTTCCTAAACTACTGTTTCAAAAACTTCCTTCTAGTTCATGGTCCAACTGGGTGATTCCACTGATAGCAGCAATTATCGCGGCCCTGATGTATCATTCCTACATGTCAGAGTAAGCGCCTTACTGAGAACTAATGCAAGAAGAGAGTGATCTGGGAGAGAATATAAGCAATCCTAACCCACTATGTTTCAGGACAAAAGTCTGATGTCTGAAGAGAAATTCAACTTTTTCAGAAAACTGAAAAATTCTTTTCTGCTGTGCACTTTTCTTAAATGTTGCCGCCTTATTTGCTGTTCTGAAATGATAAAAAGGCAGCATTTCTCTTTGTATAACAATTTTATTCTCTAATTAATTATTTGATAACTGTATTGGTTTCTGTGTTAGAATACTGTTTTGTATGTAACACTGATTCTGGTTATTTCTCTTTAATCTGTAATGGGGTCCATAGGACTCTCTTTACATATAAATTTTACAGCTTTAAAGGACTACCAAAACTGTGTACATGTATTTGTCCATGTACACAACTTAACTTAAAAAATTATGTTGTCTTCTGAAATGTAGTATGTTTGAATGAAATGCTAATTAAATGTAATGAAAAAAGCTGAGTGGAGTAGTCTGTATAGGTGCCTGTAAGTGGTTGGGCCCTACCAATCGGGCTATAATGAGGTGATTTTATTTTTATTTTTTCCTTTCCTCTTGACATCTGCTCTTTATAGTTGTAGGTACTCCTACCAGCAAACTGTTCTGTTTGACTCCCACTGAAAAATTCAGGTGAAATATGAAACCTAATGTTTGGCCCAATTAATGTCCGTCTCAGTTTTGTGGAAGGTAGCTCTTATTTGCAAAAAAGGCAGAAAAAAAGTAACTGCTACTAAATAACTGTTCCTGCCAAGCACTCAGGTGACTCCAGAATTTATTCTGGAACTTTTAGACTTTTATAAAATCTTCAGCTTTGTCATGTATATGGAATCTGTTTCTGACTGTTCTGTGATATGTTCCTTGGTGCTTTACTATGAAGAGATGACTATTTTCACTGCTAAAAACAAGATAACTGAAAGCTTCCATTTTGTGGTGAACATTTTTAGTCATATGTAAATGATCATGAATAAAAGTTTAATTGCTTATTCTCACTGGCTCTCATAGATTAATTTCAAACTTTTTTGAAGGCCTGGAAAGAGATGGTCTTGCATATTGGGACACTTCTCAGGGGTACCTGTTTGATATATGTTGAAAGTCAAGATATGTCCCTTATGCGGAGAAGTTGCATGGAAAGTGAGAAAGTATATTATGGAGCAGTTAGCTTAGATGTATGTTTTTATCTGAATGACCTCGACACCAACTAGTGCCTCAGTGGTTTGTCCCTGCAAGCTCTGCCTCCCTGACATTCAGCAGGGCTTGAAACACCATTCCAAGGTCTGACTCTTGGCAGCACCAGGGAAGGTGCGTGCAATTTAAGTCCTGTGTCAAATCAAATCAAAAGATAGTACACTGTAAACATGAGCTTTATATAAAAAAAAAAAAAATAATTAGGTAAGGGAAAGTGCTGTGACTTCAGGAATTTGCTTTATGCATATGTAGGACTATGTCAGTACATGACTCCTTGAAGAATTCCTTATTGTGGGATTCCTTTGTGGGAATTCCTTTACTGTTACAGCAAATAAGGGTATCTCATATAGCTTCAGCTGTGAAAGTGTTCAGTATCTATTTCATTTGTATTCATGTGTTCTGTCAGACTTGGTTTACAGATACAGCCATATATGCACATATAGTAGATCCCATCAACTTCTTTACCTTAGCAATTTTAACGTGCAGTATAAATGGCAATGTTTGGGATTGTGCTTAGCACTAACTAACTTTGGTCCTGTTTTTGTCCTAGCTTTTCCTCTGAATGTGGTAAAGAAGAGTTTAAAAATTCAGGCTTCATTGACTTTTTTTCACAAGTAGCCTTTAAAAAGGTTATATTAACTCTGAGTTGGTATCTAGACTCAAATCAACTTTCAACTACTAAATTTTCTGTTAGTTTGTAAAATAACATTTAAGTCCACATGTCTAAGTGAGGCAAAAAAAAAAAATCAAACCCAGCAACTTTAGAAAACCCTTCTTCCCCCCCCCAAGAATTTTAGATTGGGATAATTATGTCCACATCAGCAGACAGGGTAGTGCAATCAAAGTGGATTCATAAAGCAAATGACTTGCTGTGAAAGGTCTTTTTTCCATGCTGTGTGTGTTTTGGGAGTTTTAGTATAGTATAGCTCTGGGTCCCATATACTGTGTGTCTGTTGATGCAGTCCCCTGGAGTACCTATGTACTCAGTCTCACCTGAAAGCAGTTGAGCTGACAGGTGTGGGGAATTTCCACAAAGTGAACCAAAAGTGCAGCAAATGGAGATGTGTAGGCAATGCTTTAAAAACTGATACAAGTTAAAATGTTAATGTAGACATATACAGCTTGTTCCCTGTAGTTGGTTTGTTCATGTTCCCTTCCACAGGTGCGGGTGTAAGTTGTTCCTCAGAGATGGACATGATTGTTTCAGGTTTTTAAATGTAAACTGATTAACATAAAAAAAATGATCAGGCTTATAATTTACCTTTTTAATACCCTAAGGTTAGAGCTGCTTTCAATAGGGGGGTCATACAGGAGTCTTTGTGACTTTAGCTTTTGATTAAGAATATGAGAGGAAGAAAAAAGGTATATGGGTGTGGTGAGGAATGAATGACAATGTTATTGAAAAGTTAGTCAAGTGAATTAAGGGTAGTGAATGTTTTTAGAGTCTGACAGCAAAAAGAAAAGAATGGACAGTCTGCTTTTCAGAGCAAAATCCTTCGTCCATATCTGATCTGAAGGTACTTGCTCTAATTGTCTGGCAATTTAATGCAAATTTTTGTTTGGAGAGGCTTGTTTTGGTGGTTGACGCTTTAAATCAGATGTCATGTTGTCTACTTGTACAATCTCACAGTGTTTATACTGCCTTAAATTATTTGAGAATTGCATTTTTGGCCTTCATTTGCCTATCTTGTTGTTCACAGGAATGCACAGTGGCCAAGAGTTCCCTTAAATGGAGACAGCCTTGGCTTCTTCTTGGTGTCTGTGGAGTAAAGCCAGCACAACTTGTTCACTTGCTCTCTTCCCTATGACGAGGAAAAAATAGTATGCTGTCCCCTTCCCTAGCTCTCTTGCTTCAGCACACTGATCCAATGCCTTTCTCTAGTTCTGAATGCTGTTCTGCAGTCAGGATTTTGCAGAATGCTAGAGAGAAACTGGCAAGGCTGTAAAAGCTAGGCAAATGGAAACTGATCACAAATTTTATTCAGAAGCAAAAAAAATGGGAAGGTGTTGCTGTTATTTTCCAAATGTTTGGCTTCTGTGGGTAAATTAATGTTTATAAATTCTTGGCCACTTTGAGCAAAACTGTTCTCCTGTTTTCTGCAAGGCTAGCAATGAATATTATTAGCCAAAACTCAGTGAGGATGAATGAGCTGTATCAAAGTGTCATACAAAACATGTAGAACATTAGTAGTATTACAGCATTTTTTTCTGGATAGAGGAAAAGATTTCAGAAATGGTATAGAAGGAACAAAGAGCAGAAGGAAGTTCATGATCTTGTGTGCTTAGCTCCAATACTTGACCAGATCTGAGGTGAAGCTAGTAACTAATGGATTATATATTTGAATTTTTCTTCCCTTTCATACTACGTTACATTCCATCTCATGATTAATTCATTATGTGTTGAAATATTTAGAGTTTTGAATGGCCTGCTTATAAGTAGGTGGGCAGACAAGCACATGAATTAATGAGAAATGTTGGAACATTGGCTCTCAGCTGGTGATTAATGCTGGATTTTCTGTTCTTTCTGAAAACTAGTTAGACTTGTTTTTAATCTTCTTACATGTAAGAATGTGCATAAAACAGTCCTTGGCATTTCCTTTTCCAGCTTTCTAAAATCAGGAGCATGCAATGTGACTACTGGTCTATATTGATAGCTGCTAAAGCAAAGCTCAGAATGGACTTGATCGCACTGCAGAGCCTCATGTATAAGGAACAGATTTTGACTTTTATCCTGTGTACCACCATTTCTGTGCCTGTGTCTTACAGTTTGCTGCACTGAGGCAGACAGCATACTGCCAAGAGCTGTCAGTTCTGTTCACTGAGAGGCAAGTAGCATTGTCAGGCAAGAAGAGTTACGCACAGGAAAATCTTGGGAAAGGTTTTTGTTATCTCCAGACAGGACATCGCAGAACTCATGCAGACCCCCAGAGTCCAGGAACTGTAGCCAGTAGCACCGTTACCACAGAAATCTTGCCTTTTTCCATAGACCCCGATTTATGGATAAAGCTGATTGATCCTTTTGGAGGGTGAAGGCGCTCCATGGTATCTCTGGAGTTCCACCTACTTAGGTCCTGGATAAATTCAGCCTGGTATTGTTTGGAATTACAGTGTTTTTACTTGTCAGCTGTGGGAAAATGTCTCTTCAAATAGAACGGGTTCTGGAAACTGCTTCAAGGTCTAGGTAGGGTTTGTTAGAAAGAAAATGTTAAGCCAAGCGAGGGGAGTGCTTTCCTAAATGACTTCTTGAAAGTAAGGAAATTCCTGTCACATTCAGTTGTCACAGAGTTCTGAAGCCACTTGATGCTTTTAGTGTCACTGACATGGTCTTAACATGGCTTTCAGGGATATCTGTAAGAGCACGATAGGTGTGTTGTCTACATAGGTGTTGCTTAGGAGCGGGCAGGGTGGTGGGCCAGTAACTGGAAACAAGCCAATATATCCTTTCATTTGTAAACTGAATGGATTCCCAACTTGTATTTGTTTGGATCCACTTTCAGAGTAGTGTTGCAGTGGGTAACATTCTCGGCATCTGTCTGAGGAGGACGAGCAATTTATGAATAATAAAGGGAAGTTCGTATTTAAGCAGTCACAGCTGCTGGGATTAGAATGATAAAACTGCGCGTTATTTTTAGGTGAATCTGTAGAACTACTTTCTGACCCTATTGAAGTAACAAAGATATTTGAGTAATACAGGTTATATATCTTTGTTGTCACAGTGAGATCTTCAGACCTGAGGATATGAGTGAACAGGTTAATAGAATACAAACTAGGCTGTGTAGATTTCAAGCTAACAGCTACTCCCAGGGAGCTCCTGGTGGTGGGCTGTTATTAAATCTTAGTTGCATGCAAGGTAATTTATTGCACCCTTGCTGAAAGATATGTGATCAGATGTATGAGAAGCTCAACATCTAGTAGATGTGCAAGTCTGACCAAGCAAGATCTTCCTGCATCAAGGTCCCATGAGAGTCTTGATGCAGGATGGTGTCTCAGATCACACATACCACACATCAACAGGATCAGACTCTTCACAACAAATTATGCTTTTTCATACAGAAAGTTGGTGTCTGCAGGTAAGTGTCAGCAGGTGAGAAGGAGCAGAAGCAGTTGCTGGAGAAAAAAGAAATAGCCTGTGAAGCAAGGACTGTCATCTGGGATTTCCTTTTGGAGCTTTGTGCCCTGCTAACTGCTAAACTACAGAGTCCTACTCTCTTCTCTCCACTATGAATCCAGCATTCTTTTTTATACTGGAACAGATGAACTGCTTGAATAATTACCCTGGTTCTTGGACAGAGTTTTACAGCCTGGGCAAACTCTGGCCTAGTTTAGAGTAAACTTGGATGCGAGTGCATCGTTCCCATAGGCGTGACCTTACTGGTTTCTGCTGGGTCTTGCTTCTGGTTTGCAGGAAGCATGAGAATACAGCTCCAGACTTGTCGTACACTTTCATGCGGGAACCTTTTGGTTTGTTCTTGAAGTCAGCACAAGCTTGTTATGAACCCCTTAAAATAGATGACCTTCTTACTTCCAACTGCTAATTTCAATTGAAAAAAAAAAAAAAGGGAAAAAAAATGCACATGGTTAACATTAATAACAAATCATTAAACTACATTTTTTCTGTACTTTAAAAATCCACATAGTTTAAACCCATTGACACAGAACTTCACTCTTGTGTGTAAAATACCTAGTACAAATAGACTCTGGAGTGCTCAGTAGTTCCAATCGCACTGCTAAAAAGGGGCTTGCAGGCAAGTGGATGAGTCTTAAGTTATCTTACAAATATAAATTCATATCTGTCAGTGTTAGA